ATATATATATATATATATATATATATATATATATATATATATGTATATATATAAAAATACAAATAATAATAAAAATATAAAAATATTATCAGATGTATGTAGTTTTTAAACATGAAATGCAAACTATCGTATGGGAAAGAGCTAAGATGGGACTACCAATTTCTAAGGGTATCGTTTAATCAGGAAGCACTGATTTACGATGATCTATTAATATGTCCGAACTAACTCTACCTTATTTAGAAAAAATGTAAGGAGGTGGGTATAGAAGACGAGTTCAATCATCACCAGATGCGTCTTCGGGCCAACAACGTATACGTGTTTCAGGCGTTGCATGTATTTCTCACACTTCTTCATTGCGGTCTGTTGACAGCAACATGCATGGTGAGCTGATGAATAAGAATTTGATTAAATTCTAACGGTATTTACAAAGATTTTGTTCGTTCACAGCATCTTGAATTAGTATACCTTGATATGACCTGCTATATGGTATCTACTGTTATCGTTATTGTAGCTATGTGGGTCAATGTAAATGTGAAGCTTGGGCTGAAACATAAATGGTTAAAATACGTTACATCTACGACTGCCGCGCTGAGTATTGTGCTTATGGGTAGGTAAGCCTTATGCAATAGCTTAATCTAAATTTGCACATAATCATATCGTGTGAATGAGTATTCCGCAGTAGGTGCCGCCTGACTGCAATGTTCTTACTTGTTTTTTTTTTTCTCTCCGTGAGATTTGATAGTAGTCATATCGCCGCATTCCCGCGAAATGATCGTATGTCGAAAATTGTAACTTTACAGTAGAAGCATTTTTGTGATTTGGTTATTGCATGTTAGTATACAAACGCTTACATTAAAATTTATTTTTTCCGAAACTAGAGCGAAGTACTAGAGAGAACTAGAGAGAAGTTTTCCACCCGTTCTGCATTGTTATCTCGATTTCGCAAATAATCAACATACGATCATTTCGCGGGAATGCAGCGATATGACTACGATCAAATCTCATGGAGAGAAAAAAAGTTTTAAATCTAGAATGGTGAAATTTTGCACGTGAGCAAATGGTTTGATTCTTCAAAGATGGGTAGATGGATAAATTATATATCTACGCCTACTAGAAGCGTGGCAAATCGGACCTGAAGATATAGTGATTTTTCAATCATATTATATATATTTTTGAGGCACTATTGATGCTAGAGACCTGAAATTTGATGTATATACGCAGGATAACGATTAGCTACGCCCCTAGTGGGCGGACCGGGAAAATTTTAACACTTTATAAATCGGAGATATATATATGTATATGTGCTCCAAATTTCAAATCTCTAGCTTCAATAGCGCCAAAATGAACTGCGTTCATACGGACAGACGGACGGACAGCAAGACGGACATTGCATTGAATGAGTCTAAAAATTATGAAAACTTATTCTTTGTAATTTGTTAAAATTTATATATCTAAATATTTAATCTATATACATATTCAACAAGTATGATATCCCCTGAACCCTTAAAGCAACTGATATTTCAATAATGATTCGCACACATACGCACACACACACACACACGGTGACTGCGCTTGGGCTGCGCTGCAGTGTTGGCAATGTTATGAGAATTTATTTGTTGAATAATTTACTTTCTAGACATACAATATTAATGAAACTTTCAGAACGTAATCATATTGTTTAAATGTGTGTATATTCCGAAG